GGGAACTGAAGGACTCCGAAGCCCTGCAGAGCGACGGTGGGAACTGAAGGACTCCGAAGCAGAGCGATGGTGGGAACTGGAATGTCAGCAGAGGAACAACTCAGAGGAAGCCAACGGACATCATCCCCCTTCTGGCGTGAAGTGAGAGGTGTGCTGCAGGTTAGCTCAGTGACATACTGAATTTCAAAATGCTTGGCCTGAGAATATGACAACGTCCCCAGGGATGCCTTCTTCTCTCTGTTCTGATAAAGACCAGTAAGGGCTCTGAGTGAAGTCAAACACCAGTTATTGAATTATCCCACTGGTAGTTGCAGCAGACACACTGTAATACAGGTGGCTTGTCCCATTCTTCCCAGAGGGATGAAGGACTGAGACAGGAGTAGAAGCAGCCTTTCCCTCCTCATCCCAAAGCCCTTCAGGCATACTCGATCTGGGCAGGGCCACGACTACCCTCGTTCTTCCGCTCAGATGACTGGGTGGTGGCCTTGGCCTCACTGCCCATGTCCAGAGGCTTAGCTGAGATGTAGTCTTTTACTTTGATCTCCATGTTCTTGGCTTTCAGAGTGGCCATGTGCAGCTTCTCCAGGAAATCCGGCATGCCTGTCAGGAGAGGGGAAAACATGGTGAGGCTGATATATAAACTAGCAGCAGGCTCAAAACGAGAAGGCCTTGTACCCTTGATGGTAGGGAGTTCATGCTATTTAGAAAGATCACAGCCTGAGTGACAACCTGTGAGTGACAGGGGCCTCCCAGGATGTACAGGAATGAAAACAACCCATGATCCCTAATCCTTTGAAAAGGGGTACTGATCAGGCCAGATAAACCCCCAAAGACTTTCTTTCAGGTGATTAAATATCAGTTATCACGGTATAAGGAGAACGGTGTGGCAGTCTGCTTCTGTAAATATTACAGCCTTGAAAACCCTACAGGGCGCTTCTACCCTCTCCTACATGGTCACTATGAGTTGGAATCGACTCATTGGCAACGGGTTTCATTTTCTGGTTTGTAACAGCATAGCCTAAACAGCTGCTGATTTTATTTAGACAAATGTCAAACAGAAACACCCAATCTCCTCTCCATCCTCAGTCTTCCTTCTTCCCCTGAGGTAGAAGCAGCTGCCTACAGACAACTAGAAGAAAGAGGGTGCTTTTTGACACAAGAAATCAGAAGGGAAAGGTACCATCACAGCTGTGACATGAGCCTTTGTCAAGACAGGCAGTAGCTTTCTCCAGGTGATCACCCTACAACCACCATATTTTCTATGCCAGATCCTACAGTCTCCAGTACTATCTAAGGAGGAGAAATTCTTTTTAAACGCATTCATGTACACGGCCCACATTTGTCACTGAAGCAAATGTTCTTCTTAAAACTGCTTTCTGGGCACAAGTTCCTTTCTGGGACCCTATAATTCTCATCCCTACAAACCCCAGCTGGAGGCTTTGATGTCTTCAAAGTTTCCAGGAATGAACTCTGAGGGACTTTTAATTCTCCCCAACAGGGCTCCAGTGAGACAAGGACCAACCTCCTTGCTGCCACTAAGAAGCCAGAGAAGACAAACTGCCCCACCCAGGTTCCAGGCCCTGTGCAGACGTTTCCACTTACCACTGGACATCATCCAACTAACACAGTAGCGGGGGAAAACAGTCTGGGGGTTGTCACTGTATGTCAACAAGTAGTCAAAGCCATTCTGGAAATGAAAAACAGCAAAGATGAGGGAAGTACCTGAATTTCTTGCCACACCCTCCATACCCAGCATTAGAGAATAACACGATCTGACTATATGCAGGAGAGTGCCTTTTTTTTTTTTTAATGCTGTGCAGTCTTTTTTGAGACTGTCATCTTCAGAAAGTCCTGCTTGCACAGCTGGCCCAGGGCTGGCATCTGGGATCTTGGGTCTCAGTGCTTCCAGTGGACAGTTACTGACGGGGGTGGCTCACTGGGTCTGTGTCCAGACTATGCCAACACTGTGGCTTATGCTGAACACCTGCCTTCCTCCTGGGGGGGGTCTTGAATTTTGGTACATGCTAGGCAGAGGGTGTCTACGTGACCAGCCTCCAACAAAACCCAGGTGCTCAGTCTCTAATGGGCTTCCCTGGGCAGCAACATCACACACGTGTAGCCGTGTGACTCCTCACGGGAGGGAGAGGGCAGCTTGCACGTGAGATCCTCCAGACCCTACTTCTGTCTTTCTGCCTTATGATCTGGCTGTGGACACTTACTACGCTGCTGTACTAAATCCTACTATGCTGAGTGTACACACACATACACTCTCTCTCTCACTTATGTAACCCAGCAGAAGTTTCATGAAATACTCTTACTCTATGAGACACATTCAGGTAGTTTCTATTCTATTCCATTTACTCCTTTTTTTTTTAAAGCTGGTCAGAATCTACTAATTTTACATTCCACTAATAGGTAGCAATCGTCATCTGAAAAATACTGCTCTAAAAATAACACAGAGGTACACACAGGCCTCCCAGCAAAAACATGAGAGACAAACACTATTTTGACGGAGGGGAAGCATTGTTTCTGGCACATTTCAAAGTCCTACAAGTACCTTTTGATGAGAACAAAAGCATACTAGGAGGACACATCCATACAGGTCTAAAACAAACAAGTTATAAGGAGAAACAAAGCCATTATAAAATGAAGTAGAACTAAAAACAGCAACCATTGGTATCAATAGGTACACTCAACAGAGATCTAGTTTAAAAGTTGAAGTAAATGTTCTTCTTGAAGAAAGGTCATAGCATTTTAAAGTAGGACTGCAGCGAGCACTGGTTCAACCCTGTCATCTTACAGGCAAGAAAACCCAAGGCCAGAAAGATTTTTTTTTAATTGATTTTTTAAATTTTTTTATTGTACTTTAATCACTAAATTCCTATTTGATGTACTATTTTGTTTTCCGAGCCTCCAGTTTAATACACATTTAATAAAAACATATTTCCTTCTGATAACAGAAAAAAAAATTTTTTTTATTGTACTTTAGATGGTTTACAGAACAAATAGTTTCGCATTAAACAGTCAGTACACATACCGTCTTATGACATTGGTTAACAACCCCATGACATGTCAACACTCTCCCTTCTCGACCTTGGAGGACCTTTTTTTTTGGTGAAAATATACAAAGCCAAAGTTACACCATTTCAAAAGTTTCTACATATACAATTTAGTGACATCGATTACATTCTTCCAGTTGTGCTAATATTCTCACTATCCTTTTCCAAATTATTCTATCAACATTATCTTCAACTCACTGCCCCCCAACTCAAATCTTTTGAGTTGCTGTTGTCAATCTGATCTCACATAGATAATTTTTTTTTTTTGGTACCTTAGATGAAGGTTTGCAGAACAAATAGTTTCTCATTAAACAGTTAGTACACATATTGCCCTATGACTATGGTTTAACAATCCCACGACATGTCAACACTGTCCCTTCTCAACCTTGGGTTCTCTATTACCAGCTTTCCTGTCCCCTCCTGCCTTCTAGTCCTTGTCCCTGGACTGCTGTGCTTCATTAGTCCTGTTTTGTTTTATGGGGCTGTCCAATCCTCAGCTGAATGTGAAGCTCAGGAGTGACTTCACCACTGAGCTAAAAGGGTATCTGGGGGCCATACTCTCGGGGTTTCTCCAGTCTGTCAGGCCAATAAATCTGGTCTTTTTTTTGTGAGTTAGAATTTTGTTCTACGTCCTTTTCCAGCTCTGTCCAGGACCCTCTACTGTGATCCCAGTCAGAGCAGTCAGTGGTGGTAGCCGGGCACCATCTAGCTGTACTGGACTCAGTCTGGTGGAGGCCGTGGTAGCTTTGGTCCATTAGTCCTTTGGACTGATCTTTTCCTTGTATCCTGTTCTCTTCATTCTCCCTTGCTCCAGAAGGGGCGAGACCAGTGGAGTATCTTAGATGGCTGCTCACAGGCTTTTAAGACCCCAGATGCTACTCACCAAGGTAGTAGAACATTTCCTTTATAAACTGTGTTATGCCAGTTGAGCTAGATGTGCCCTGAGACCATGGTCCCTGTAGCCCTCCACCCAGCAATTTAGTCCCTCAGGGAGTCTGGAAGTGTCTGTGGAGCTTCCATGACTCTTCCTTGTACAAGTTGTGCTGGCTTCCCCAGTACTGTGTACTGTCTCACCTTTCACCAAAGTTACTACTTACCTATTGTCTATTTAGTTCCCCCCCAACCCTCCCATCCCTTGTAACCAACAAAGATTGTTTCTTTTTGTGGATAAACTTTTACATGAGTTTTTACGGTAGAAGACTCATACAATATTTGTCCTTTTGTGATCGACTTATTTCACTCAGCATGTCCTCCAGTTTCATCCACGTTATGAGATGCTTCACAGATTCATCATTTATCTCTTCATAATACTCCATTGTGTGTATGTACCATAGTTTGTTTATCCATTCATCTGTTGATGGGCATCTAAGTTGCTTCCATGTTTTTGCTACTGTGAACAATGCTGCAATGAATATGGGTGTGCATACGTCTATTCGTGTGACGGCTCTTATTTGTCTAGGATATATTCCTAGGAGTGGGATTGCATTTTGTGGTGTTTTTTTTTTTGGTGGTGCTGATGTTTTCTTTGCTCCTCTTACTCCCCTGTGCTGAGTTCCTTTTGTTTGTGGATTTTTTTTCATTTCTTCTGGTTTTGTAAGTTTTGTTTTTACTGAGACTTTATGTCTTTCTTCTTTATTTTGATAAGTAGGTTTGTTAACTTTCTTTGTGGTTACCTTGGAATTTACCCTTATCTTCCTAGATTTGAACCAGTCTATTATTACTTGGTATTGCCTTGCCTTCCTCTCCATTAGAAGGTTCTATACCTACACTGTTTATTCCCTCTTTTATTGTTCTGATGCTGTTGTCATTTACAGGTTAACCTCTCTGGTTCCCTGTTATAATCCTTTTGGTTTTGCATAGTCCTTAAGAGTTCATTTCCTAGGTTGGTATTGGCTAGTACAATCCTGTGTCCTATATTCAGCCTGTGGTCTGATGTTGTTATCAGATCGAAGGACTCTCTTTAATAAGTCTTGTAAGTTTGGTTTGGTTTTTACACAGTCCCTTAATTTCTGTTTATCTGGAAATGACCTAATTTCACCATCATATTTGAACGAGAGTTTTGCAGGATATATTCCTTGGCTGGCAATTTTTTTCTCTCAAGGTTTTATATATGTCATCCCATTGCCTTCTTGCCTGCGTAGTTTCTGCTGAATAATCCGAGTTTAGTCTTATTGTGTCTCCTCTGTATGTGACTTTTTGTTTTTCTCGAGCTGCTCTCAGGATTCTGTTTGTCTTTGGTTTTAGTGAGCGTGATTATGATATGCCTTGGTGATTTTCTTTTGGGGTCTATCCTATATGGGGTTCGTTGAGCTTCTCGGACGGTCAGCTTTTCATCTTTCACGATATTGGGGAAGTTTTCTGTCAGCAATTCTTCAATTATCCTCTTTGTGTTTTCTGTTTTCTCCCTGTTCTGGAACTCTGATCACTCGTAGATTTTTGCTTTTGATTGTATCCCACATAATTCTCAGGGTTTCTTCATTTTTATTCGTTCTTTTTTCTGATTTTACCTCAAACAGATTTGTAGCCAAGTGTTTGTCTTCAATTTTGCTGATCCTATCTTCCATTGTTTCAAACCTGCTCCTCAGCCCTTCTATGACACTGTCCATTTCTGAAATCTCGTTGTTTACCTTTTGGATTTCTAATTGTTGTTTTTTATGTTTTCTAGTTGTGAATTTATTTTGGCATTTTGTTCTTGTATTATTTTCTTGAATTCTTCTATATTTTTGTCTGTATTTTCCATGAATTTGTCTGCCTTTTCCATGAATTTGTCTATTTTTTCCTTGTTTTTGTCTGTTTTTTGCTTCAACTCTTGGATAATTCTGAATATGAGAGATTTGAATTCCCTATCAGTTAGGTCTAGTGCCTTTTCTTCTTCTGGAAGGTCATCTAGTGTTTTATTTTGGACGCCTACTGGAACCATCCTATCCTGGTTTTGTAAATGTTTTGATATTGTCTGCTGTCTTCAGGGCATTCGGTGGTTATTTTCCTTGTTTACTGATTTAGATTTGTTTGTTTCGTTTCGTCCTGCTTTTTTGTTTTATTTGGTTATGTCTGAGGAGGCAGGCTGTGTGTTCTTTGCTGTTTGCTCATCTGTGGGCATGATACTTTTCACCTCCTTCTCCAATGGGCAGGGTCAGTCACTCAGGTATGGTACAGCAGGGCAGGTCCAGCTGAAGGGGAGTTGCTGGGGTAGGGTGTTTGTGGCACATACCAGGGCTGACAGTGCGGACGAGGAATCAGTGCAGGGCAGGTTCCAGCAGACCGTGCCTGTACTGCTTGGGAGTGTGATGTTCAGCACACAGTGCAGGCAGGCAGGAAGGAGGGGGTAGATTGTGATGTGTGGAGCTAAGATGGGTATGGGAAAGATGAGAGAGAGGATAGAGAAAAAGGAGCCAAAAACACACAAACAAAAACGAGTGCTAAAGGAGCTTGCTATTGGAGTGGAGAGATGAGAGACTGAGAAATGAGGAAAAACAAAATGAAAAAAAAAGAAAAAGAAAAATGGTAAAAGGAAAAAAATGAATAAATCAAGAAACTGGAAATGATGAAAGACAAAAAGGGAATAAGAGAGAGAAGAAAACAAAACAAAAATAGCCAAAAAAAACAAGAAAAAAGAAGTGCTCTCAGGGATGTCCCTGTGAGTCTGCGCAGAGTAAGGGTGCAGCTTCCAAGCCACATGGTACTGCCTGGCTAGAAGGGGGTCCCAATCTGAGAAAAGAAAAACAAAACAAACAAATCAAAACAGAACAAATCAGAGCAAACAAACTAAAAAGCCCTGGGGTCCCGCCAGCGTGGCGGCACGGGCCAGGAAGCAGTTCCACAGTCAAGCAGCGTTTCGCAGCCTTTCAGGAAGAAGCAAAGACGGTGCACAGAGCCAGGTATTTGAGAGAAAGGAGGGGGAAGTGATGAGAGGTAAGGAAGAAATCTAAAGAAGCGGAAAAAAGCAACACCAGCAGCCAACAAAAGGCACTCAGGGAGCCGGCCAGCGCAGGTGGGTGGAATTCAAGTGACACTGGGGTGCTTCCCGGCCAAGAGACTGTGGCTGCAGGAAGCAGAGGAGGCTAAGTGGGGGTGAAGAAGGGTGGGGGGGTGAGAAAGCCTATATCGCTGGTAACCGGTTGTTCTGTCTCCTGCTGGAAGTTCCGTTAAGCTGCTTTCTCATACTGCCTGTTCGCTGATCTCCAACAGGAGTCCAAGATGGCGAATCCATGCTCCAGTAGCTGATAGAGGACCTCTGCATGTATCTCTCCTTGCTCTCTTTTTTCAGCCAGTTTCTTATTCCATTCGGTGCTTGACTGAGTTCTTTATCTCTTCATTTGATGCGTAGGGTTTAAGGATTGACATGTGACTCTGTTTGACTTAGTTTTTCTGACCTTTGCTGCGGAGGGACGGCATGGTGCCTCTGATTACAGTGCCATGTTGCCCGGAAGTCCACAAGGCCAGAAAGATTTTAAGTGCTCTGCTCATTGTGGTGAAATTTTCACTGAAAAGGAGCTTGCTCTAGTTACTGGAAAACGCTACTTGTTATGGACTGAATTGAATCCTCCAAAAAGATATGCTGAAGCCCCAGTCCCTGCATCTGTGAATGTGACCATGTCTGGACATAGGGTTGTTCTGTTGCTATCAGCTGGGTCAAGTAAGGTCACACTGGAGTAGGGTGGGTCCTAGTCCTAACACCTCCTGAGTGGAGTCTTATAAAAAGGGAGTGACACACGGGAATACAGACGCCATGTGACAACAGAGGCAGATGCATCTACAGCAGCAAAGGAGCACCAAAGGACTGCCAGCAGCCACTAGAAACTAGGGGAGGGCACCAGAGAAGGAATTGACATGGCTGAGACCCTGATTTGGACTTTCAGCCTCCAGAACTGTGAAAAAATAAATTTCTGTTCTTTAAAGGCACCCAATCAGTGGTACTTGGTGTGGGAGTTCTAGGAAACTAAGACGCCACTAATGACAGGCTAGGAGTCAATGGCTACTATCTTCTCATAGCTGTTGCTCAGAAAAAAGGGAGCCGACAGATCGCCACCACTCGGTCCTGGGGATCTTCCAGGTATATCACCCTATAGCAGGGATTCCTAAGGTATGGTTCCAGATCAGCAGCAACAGCCTCACCTGGAAACTTCTGAGAAATGAAGATTCTTGGGCCATACCCCACACCTACTGAACCAGAAGCTCTGAGGTTGGGGCCCAGGAATGTATTTCCTTTAACATTTAATTGATTCTGATGCATGTCAAGTTTGAAACCAATGCCCTACAGCACCCTACCCCTCCCAAGTTCAGATGAGAGGCATTTCTTGAGAAAAATCCAAAGCCACCATACGTCATCTCTTAGATGATGTAAAACTCACCTCATCAAATGATTTGTGGGGACGGATAACCATCTGGGATTCATATGACCTGACCCTCACGAATTCCGGAGACTCTGGCACACTAGGGTGCTCCACAGCCCTGGGAAGGAGGAGAAGTAAAGTAAATTCTCAGCAATGTCTGCCTATATATAAAACATGGGTGCTAAGATTAAAGAGAAGCCCTGAAAAGCTGGTTCTCATTTTTAAGATAAACAACGAGTAGAGTTACTAGGCTGAGTGAACACGACTAAGTTCTAAAAATGAACTGAGGTTCTTTGGTGAATGTACGGCTCGTTAGGCTTTGTGTCGAGGAAATCACACTTTTTTCCTTTTTAATTACCAGCATTAAGGAGCTGAAAGAAATTGTTTAACTAGAAGTTCATATCCCTCAATCCTCCTAGATAGTCAGAACACTCACCTTCTACCTGGAATGGGTGAGGCACTGGCTGTGGGGAACCCTATGGGAGAACGCGTAAGAGCACTAAGACACACAAACTCCCACCAAAGGTACAGACGAACAAAGGACACATTCAAAGGAACTCAGCAACAGCTAACCATACATACCGTGACACCAACACCATCACGTTGTTCTCCTGATCCACACTATACCGTCGAACATAGACATAATCCCGTGAATACATTGGGTACTAAAGAAATGGAGAGCCAGGATTAGTGTTGTGTATCACGTGGTCTTGAGAAAGTAAAACCAGAAGTAAAAATACTCACAGGAAAATGTGTTACCCAGTGAAGAACCTCAGAACCACTAACCACGTCCCTCTCGATCACCTCCAGCTTGATTACCAGGGCATCCCACTTTTTTCTATATTCTGTGTCCAGCTAGGGAAAGACAGAAGACCATGAAGACTCAAGAGATCCAGGACAAAGCTGTTCTCAAGATGCCTGAGCCTCTGACTCAAGGCCTTATTATAAGGGAACAGTGATCTGATCTAAAAGACAGTGCCGCAGTGTGAGAGACATGGCTGGATAACAGTTTATAACAAATGACTTTTAAAATCCCTTAATGTAGGCCATGATCGTTATACTGAATGTGAATGCTAAAAAGAAAAGGACAAAGCAAAGTAAGAAGAAAAATATTGCAATAGATGTGTCAGAGAAGACACAGCCAACAGTGATATAAATATGTAAGGATGAGACAATTCTAAAAATTTTATACAGACAAAAAAGTCCAAAAGTATGAGCAGACACTGCACACCAAGAATTGCAAGCAGCATATTTTTTAAATTTCTGTTATCACTAGCAACCAAGGAATTTCAAATTAAGACAAACAAGCACATCCAAACCAATAAAAATTCAACACAAACTGACAAGTGCTTAGGGGAAAGTGTACATCTGCACATTACTGGCGGGTGTTGTTAACTCAGTACTAGTTCTGAGAGTCCGACAAAACAAATAAAAAAATCAGGAAGAAAAAAATGTCTTTGCAGAACTCTAGATGACACCACTCCCCTGTCACTTTTTTACATTTTTGTTTCAAACGTTTCCCACCCGCTCAAGAGCAAAGAAGTCTCTGAACAGAGGCTCTTCATCCTTCTTAAACAAACGTCTTCAACATGGAAATGTTCCAGGCTAAAGGAGGCGAAAGAGACGTGACAACTAAATGTAATCTGACTGGATCTGTACTGGAGGGAAAATGCTATAAAGTAGCGTTACTGGGTCAACTGACAAAAACGGAATACAAACAGAAGATTATATAAAAGTGCTGCATCAGCGTTAAATTTACTAATTTGGATAACAGTACCGTGATCAGACAAAAGAATTACGTCTAATCTTAGGAAATATACACTGAAGGAATTAGGGATAAAACGCCATGATGTATGTAAGTAACTTACCCTCAAAAGGTTTGGATAAAAATTGTGTGTATATTCACATAATGTAAAGCAGTGGGAAAACGTTAAAAACAGATAAACATGAGTATATGGATTTCTTACACTATTTTTATCCTTGCAATTTTTTTTCTGTAAATTTGAAATTACATCCAAATAAAAAGTTTTTTAAAATTTAAAACTTCTGCATGAAAAGAATTCAAAAGAATGAAGCTGGAACTATACCTCACACCATATACAAAAATCAACTCAAAATGGATTCACGGCCTATACGTAAGAACTACAACCATAAAACTCTTAGAACAAAACATGGGGTAACGCTTTGGGACCTAGTCTGTAACACTAGATTCTTAGATATGACACCAAAAGCATAAGCAACAGAAGACAAAATAGGTAAATTAGACTTCATCAAAATTAAACATTTGCGCACCAAAGGACTTTATCAACAAAAGTGAAGAGACAACCTATAGAATGGGGAAAAGAATATTTGGTAACCATGTATCTGGTAAGGGTTTAGTATCCAGAACATATATTAAGAACTCCTACAACTCAACAACAAAGAGACAAACAACCCAATCAAAAAACGGACAAAGGACTTGACTACAGAAGATGTACAAATAAATGGTCAATGCTACAACACGGATGAACCTTGAAAACACTGCTGAGCGAAGTACGTCATCACAAAAGGACAAATAGTGTCTGAACCCATATATGAAACATCTAGAATAGGAAAATGCGGAGAAAGAACCGCATGGGTGGCTGCCGGGGGAGGTGGGAGAGGGAGGAGGAGCCACTGCTGATGTGGCTCTGAGCTTCTGTCAAGGGTGATGACAAAAGGCGGAATCAAATCATGGTGATGGCTGCACGGCTCACAACATGGAGAACGTAACTAACGTCGCTGAACTGGGCACATACTGTGCACGTGAAAATTATGGGAACAGCAAATGTTTTGTTATACGTATTTTACCACAATTTTAAAAAAGGGGCAAATCTATCACTGGTTTGTTTTGCCTGTTTTTGCACTATTTAAATGGAATTCTACCCTATGACCTCTTCTGTGTCTGGCTTCTTTGCTCAGCATAAATTCATCAATGTTAACCAGGTATAACAAGAGATTATTCCTTAAAAGCCTTCAAAATACTGCTCTGTGGGTAACGGTCATCAATTCACCCAGCACAAAAAGAGTGACTCTGGAGCAGGTGAAGAAACAAACCAACTATAGGCAGACGCTGACACTTAGGTGACCTGGGCCACACTAATCAATGCAAGTTTGTATCTATAAAGTAAGCTATGAAACAAAGCTCAACAAAACCAAACTCACTGCCGTAGAGTCGAGTCTGACTCATAGCGATCCTACAGGACAGAGCAGAACTGCCTCATAGCGTTTCCAAGGAGCGGTTAGTGGATTTGAACCGCCAACCTTTTGGTTAGCAGCCAAGCTCTTAACCACTAAGCCAGCAGGGCTCCACTAACTCTAAATAGAGCCAATTATGTGGGAAACAGAAGGAATCGGATGATTCAAGAATCTGATGAACAAGCTCAACCCATATGCTCTAAGCACAGTCACACTGCAGGTCAGATAAATTACTACAGGTGCCAAGGAACTCCAGGGAAGCGTCTAAATTCTTTTGGCTGAAACTAACATCTTAGTCATAAAGATGATTTTAAAAACGATAAATATGAAACTATAAAGCCTTCTAAAACACATCAAAGCATTCAAATTCACTTCTCCATTGTCTCCCCAACAGCCCTGTAAGGAGACAGAACAGGTTTCATCCCCACAGGACGAGACAAAGAAACTATGAACATACATTTACCCAGATGCTATGCAATGTGGAACGAGAGGTACGAAGAGCTAGCTGGATGTACAGAAGCCAGTGTCACATGTGAGTCAGAGGTATTATTCATCTGACAGTAGTAACTGGCTTTCTAGGCTCAGAAGCCCCCAGTGTGGAAACAAAACTTAACTCACCTGAACATTGAAGAACTGCCGGGGTGTCACATCTGTGTAGGTTCCAAAAACTAGAATGACAAGAAACAATGAGGTGCATCACTCGTCCTATTCCTACCGCTTAACTGCACTTTAATTACAGAGTACGACACATCTTAAAAGCAGCTTCAGAAACTAGAAGTCCTGCGGGGGCAGCGACCAAGACAAAGACGACCTATGGCAAGGACTACACTGGACTCCTGTCATCCGGGAGAAGAAAAACAACAAACAGAAAAGCATGGAAAATTTTCTGAGGAACAATCAGAACAGAATGCTTTAACGAGGCATGAGGACCCAGGCAACCATGGACACACTTCAAAGGCAGCCAAGCTGGGGCTCACCTCTGTACCGGGGGCTCACCTCTGTACCGGGGGCTTACCTCTGTACTGGTAAAGGGGGGTGCCTGTGATGGGACGCCGCCACAGCTTAAAGTGTTTCTTATCCATCACCATTTCCCATGGCTGCGCTCGGTCCCCTGACTCTTCATTTCCTTCTGTTTGGGATTTTGGTTCCGGGGAGTGGTGCTCAACTCCAGAGCTCTGAAACACACCTGACATTTCCTCCAACCGTTTCATCTCGTCAATGGATCTGGAAAGGAGAAAAACAGGTACGACACAGGTGGCTGGAGTCAGGCCCTGCTTTCCCTGGAAGAGAAACAATTTAGTTTTAAGATTTTCACTTGTCATTAATAAAAGCAAATATTGTCATAATGAAGTACAATTCTCTTTGATAGTTGTATATTGGTTTAGAAAACAGACAATGCATTTGTTAATTATGATTGATGGGATATTTCCACTATTTTTTATGCTAACAATACTTTGAGGTCTAATTTACATACAGTAACATGTCTTAACCATACAGCTCAATGGATTTTGACAGACATCTACGTAACCATCTCCCAGATCAAGATACAGAATATTTCCCGCACTGTAGAAGGTTCCAGGTTCCCTTCTGCCCTTTCCCTCCCCAGGCAAACACTACTCTGACTGCTATCACCAAGGATTAGTTTCGCTTGCTCTTGAACTTCATATAAATGAAATCATACAGCATGTGTTCTTTTATAACTGACTTCTCTCACTAATGTTTCTGAATTTCACCCATATTGTCCTAGTTTGTTTTTTATTATTACTTAGTATTCCATTATATGAAAACACCACAGTTTATTCATTCAGGCAGATGGACATGTACATGGTTTCCAGTTTTGGGCTATTAAGAATGAAGCTGATTAAGAACATTCTTATACAAGTCTTTATGTGGACATATACAGGTAGTCTCTGACTTATGACATATTCGAGTTACTATAAACAGCACTTACAACCATCCTTTTTTTGGTACATCTTATCACTAGTAATATGTACTACATACAATGTGGAGGCACATAATTTGCTGTTATCATTTTCATGCCAACCTCCAAAGACAAATACAGATCAGAGTTATAGATACTGATAATAAAAGGGCAGTAATAATCAAAACTTATTTAAAAATGAGGTATTCAACTTATGTCAAAACTGACACGACAGAGTCATCAAAACAGAACCCTGTCGTAAGTCAGGGACTACCTGTACTTTCATTTCTCTTGGATAAATATGTAGGAGTAGAACTGCAAGATCATAGTATGTTTAACTTTATTAGAAATTGCCAAACAATTCTCCAAAGTGGTTATGCCATTTCACACTCCCACCAGAATCGTATAGATTCTGTTCCATTTTGGTGAGTGGCATCTGGCGTCTTAAAAGCTAGCAAGCGGCCATCTAAGATGCATCAATTGGTCCCAACCCACCTGGAGCAAAGCAGAATGAAGAACACCAAAGACACTAGGAAAATATTAGCCCAAGAAACAGAAAGGGCCACATAAACCAGAGACCCCATAGCCTGAGACCAGAAGAACTAGATGGTGCCTGGCTGCCACCAATGACTACCCTGACAGGGAACACAACAAAGAGTTCCTGATGGAGCAGGAGAAAAGTGGGGTGCAGAACTTAAATTCCAGTAAAAAGACCAGACTTAATGGTTTGACTGAGACTGGAAGGACCCCAGAAGACATGGCCCCCAGACTCTCCGTTAGCCCAGAACTGAAACCATTCCCAAAGCCAACTCTTCAGACATAGATTACACTGGACTGTAAGACATAAAATGATACTCGTGAAGAGACTGCTTCTCAGCTCAAGTAGATACATGAGACTAAATGGGCAGCTCCTGTCCAGAGGCGAGACGAGAAGGCAGAGAGGGTCAGGAGCTGGTTGAATGGACACAGGAAATCTGGGGTGGAAAGGAGGAGTGTGCTGTCACATTACAGGGAGAGCAACTAGGGTCACATAACAATGTGTATATAAATTTTTGTATGAGAAACTAACTTGAACTGTAAACGTTCACTTAAAGCACAATTAAAAAAATAAAAGAATTCTGGTTGCTCCACCTCTTTGCTGCAACTTGGTACTGTCATTCTTTTTAATTTTAGACATTCTGGTGAGTAAGTAGCAAGGAACACAGAACTGATATAAACCACTGATGATCACTAAAAAAACCACACTAATTAACTGAACCATTAAGTGAACTCAAACAGTCTTTTGTACATCATTAAACTAACATTTAATGAGCATATACTGTGTCTAACTAGCACAGTGCCTGGCACATGATAAATGTTAACAAATGAATATACAGGAAGCACGATAAGGGAAACAAAACAAGGAGACTGTCTATGCCCTTAGGAAGTTTACAACTGAATTGTGGAACTCACAGCCTCAGAAACTAAACAAAACAAAAAGAAAAATTTAAGGGGGGAAAAAATCCAATAGTGAACTAATTAAATAACAACTGGGACAAAACTAAAACATGAAAACATTCTCCAAAATGGATAAATATTTTATTCACTTTGAGTCCCTAGCTGTTGCTGCTAGTTGCTGTCAAGTCGGCGCCGACTCATGGCGACCTTATGTATAACAGAACTAGACGCTGACTGGTCCTGTGCCATCTCCATGACCTCTGATATGTCTGAGTCCACTCTTGTAGCTATTCTGTCAGTCCACCTCATTATAGATTGCCCTTGTTTTCGCTGACAGTCTACTTTACAAACAAGATGTCGTCTTCTAGCAACTAGTCTTTACCAATGACGTATCCAAAGTAAACGAGCCAATGCCTTGCCATCCGTGCTTCTAAGGAGCATTCTGGTTGTATTTCTTGTAAGACTGATTTGAAAGGAAACCAACATTTACTATTTAAACTCCTCTAAAGCACTGGTCTGAAAGGAATGCAGTTTGTAGGACAACAGTCTTTAAAAATATTTCAAGGACAACAATTAGTCTTCTAATGTAATTACACACCCGATTCAATCCTCTGTACACACTGAAAACTCAAAATTTAACAACTTAAATGGAAAGAACTAGAATTTCGGAGGCATTATCTCTGACCTATTGAAAGCTGGACACAAAGAGGACTCATTCTAAAGCACAAGGTTATTTTTAAGGCTGTAAGGAATGCTAGTACAGCCAATGTCCTAATTCACACGAATCCATGGCAAAGGTCATTTGTACTGCCATTCTTAGGGGAGCTATCGCCACAGGGGTGCCCCTTAAACTAGCAAATATTATTTAAGATGGAAGGCGCCGTGGTGGTGCAGTGGTAAGCACCAGGCTGCTAACTGAAAGGTCAGCAGTTCCAACCCACCAGCTGCTACGCAGGAGAAAGATGCAGCAGTCTGCTTCCATAAAGATCACAGCCTTGGCGAGATGAGAAGGCAGAGAGGGTCAGGAGCTGGTTAAACGGACAGGGGAAATCCGGGGTGGAAAGGAGGAGTGTGCTGTCACAGTATAGGGAGAGTAACCAGGGTCACATAACAATGTACGTATAAATTTTTGTATGAGAGACTAACTTGAATTGTAAACTTCCACTTAAAGCACAACAATAAAAAAATAGTAATAATGACAGGCAAAAAAAAAAATCACAGCCTTGGAAACCCTACGGGGCAGTTATACTCTGTCCTACATAGTCGCTATGAGTCAGAATTGACTAGACAGCAACAGGTATTCAAGATGAAGCAGCAATGGCAGAATTTTCTTTTTTAAGATTTCCCAGTACAATATGTGAAATGCTCCCTTTGTCACTCCTGTGATCATTTTACAAGTGATATAGTCAGCCACCCAAAACTGAGTCCCACCATTAAAAGGTTCAACATTAAAAAAAGTCCAATAATACCAGGCCAGGCTCTTGATCCTGAGGACTAGAAGAGAAAGGGAAGCTGTACACGTAACATTTTAGTGCATGGGGATAAAAAGGAGCGTGTTTATAATTCGTTGCCTCTCTTGGCCTAATCCAAAACAAATTCCAACTGCAGAATGATAAACTGCAGCACTCAGTCAGAACAAAGGATAACAATGAAGCTCCTCAGCTTTCAGGCAGAGAGGAGAATGAATGTGAGGCATTGTGGTTGAGACTCAGGGTGCTAGGAGAATCACTTACAAATGAGATCAGCTACTTAATTTAGAAAGCAAAGTGTTTCTGTTGTTTTGGCCTTAATCAGACTCTCCCAAAATGACTACTTTAATGTCTTTTAAAGATAGTACAGTGAAAAATCTTACACAGAGGATCTGTATTCTGGGAAAATCCTAAGAAGGTTTATGACTGCCCTCTCATGGCATGGGTTTAAAACAGTACACAGTGTACTGAAAACGTGGACTCCTGTGTCAGACATCTAGCCCAACACTCATTAACTAGAATTTTAATTACTTAACCAGTTCTGTCTATTTCTTAATCTGTAAAATGGGGAAAATAAGAGCATCTCCCTCCCAGGCTGGTTGTGAAGATGAAGTAAACTTAGATGTGAAGTGCTCAGTACCTGCCACAGAATAAGCGCTCAAAGGTTAACTATTAGGATACTGACAAAAAACTAAGGTACAGAAAAATCTGATTTCATTGTCTCCGCACTCAATTTAAAATGTGTATGTATAAACGGGCAGCATTGTTCTGGAGGATAACCGACAAACCATAATACTAAAAAAATGTGCACACCCTTTGACCTACAAATTATACTTCTAGAAATTTATGAACGTATGTATTAATGGTTTTACATAAAGAGGATTTTACCTATATTGTGTTATTTGTAGTGGCAAAATATTAGAAACCACGTATCCATGCAATAGTAAGAGACAGTAGCAAAAATCATCTATACTAGACCAAACAGTCAACAGTTACTCTAAAGATGAGAAGGTAATGGGGCAGGGAAACTATATTACTGGAAACAGAACAACCAGAATGGAAATAATGAGAATGTTGATACTTTGTGAAAAATGTAACCAATGTCACTGAACATTTGTGCAGAAATTGTTAAATGGGAACCTAATTTGCTGTGTAAACTTTCACTGAAAACACAATATTACTTTAAAAAAAAAAAGTACCACACCAATGCAAGATGTTAATAAGAGGAAAAACTGTGCAGAGGGAAGAAGAGGTTACATGGGAATTCTCTGCACCTTCAGGTCAATTTTTCAGTAAACCTAAAATGCTCTCAAAAAAAGAGTATAGCATAACATTGCACAGCTGTTAAAAATTATGCTGTTTTGAAAACAATAACTGATAGCATACAAAAAAGTTCATGATATACCATTAAATGAAACAGGCTGAAAAACTTATGTACAGCAAGTGTGCACACATGCACATACACATCTACATATTTATATGTATTTAAAAGTCTGGAAAAAAAGTAACTAAAATATCAATCGGTGTCTCTGGGTAGTAGAGCCATAACTAAGCTTTTTTTTTTTTTTTCCCCGCTTATCTTACTTTCTACAGTATTACTATGAACACATTTTCCTTCTATTAAATAGAAAATCAAAGTTACTTTTTTAAGTACATTGGTACTAAGACTTCAGCCTAACTTGGTGAAGCATGCACTACACTAAGAATAATTTGTTACTCTTTCAGATATATTTTACATCAGAAACTGATCTGGTTCACTTAAAATTACTAAAATTAAGCAGTTAACCTGAGAAGCTTTTGAAAAGTGGCTATCTCTAACTAAACGGGTAATTAAAGCTATTTGAGAAATGGTTTTATGTCATGTTAAGAAAAACTACTACTTTTATCAAACATCCTACAAACTATTACATCTAAATAAAACAAAACACTAGTAAAAGTATTCAGTGTTTTCTTCAATCACTCAGTCTCACAAAACAACGCGAGAATTTCTGAATATTCAGATGACACTAACAGAACGTTCTGTTTATATTCCTCTAGAGAATAGAAAACTGGCTTTTGTGATTTAATTTCCAATATTTTTTATAACTTAAAATTCAATATTCCTCAGGTGGGATATCTTCCCAAATTATAACAGAAATAAAACTTGGTAAACCAGGATCATCACTTCAATGATGGATAAATCCAAGCACTCCCATAACTTTAGTTAGGCTGCTGATTAGACTTCCTTTAAAAAAACTTAATTAAGAAAACATTAGATTATTCTTTGGAGAGCACTCTGACAGTTACCTATCAAAGATAAAGACGCACATACTCTTTAAACCAAATTTCACTCATAGGTATAGACCACAGGTAGACTCTTACACAGAAGTCCATGAGGACGTTTGAAGGAAGTGCTGTCTGAAATAGCATGCAAACAAAAATAACCTTGATGTCTATCAACACAATAAATACATTTTTCTATATTCAAACAATGGATCACTAGCATTGAAAAGAAATGAATAGGCCACATGCATCAACAAGAAAAAATCTGAAAAACCTGATGAATAGAAAAGCAAGTTGCAGAAAGATACTTACAGTATACTATTTACATAC